CCCATCGATATATACACTATAAACATTGGTATATTGAATATGACCAGTAGTAGAAGTTATTTAGCTTTGATGCACGTCTCCCGCCTCTATGCAACGCAATGGAGAATAAATTGATCTGAAACACTGAATGATAAATAAATGAAAACTGTGCTCTTTCAAAACGTAGGCGCACAGCATGAGCCCCTGTGTAGCCAGCAGACGGGCGCCAATCTAAGCTACAAGTCGGGTTTCTCGCGTTATTGTCTTAGTGCGACGTGATAAACGCCCAATATTATATATATAATACTTATATAATATATATATATATATAATATATAAACATATCTTATTACGTAACATAATTCGCACGCTAAAATACAAGGGATAAAAAACAAACTTGCGGTGCGATATTCACAGAAAGCTTGCTTAACGTTGCCTTATATCTACGTATTATGCTGTAATCGGTGGGTTTTGTGCGGCGTGGCGTGTGTGTATAACCTCACAACCTCAATATATATTATACTTCAAGTCCAACAAGGGAACTATGCGGAGAGACGGAGTGCAGACCAAATGATACAATTAGCCCAGATCATACACTGGCCGATTGCAGGTAGCTAAAAAGCATTAATTTTGCCAAGGAGGAAGAAAGAATGCAATATATTTAAGAATGACAGAAACGATAGCAACACACTAAAACGATCATTTTGAGGATGCTACATGTCGAACAAACAATGATCACCTCCGATGCATGAGTCTACAAAAAAATCATTACGCAACCGCCCAATCTCACAGACCATGTGTCTCCATTAGTCTCTATCATGGACTTTGATATATATGAAAGTTATAAGTTTACATGAAGAAACGGTCACGCAGAGGCCATCAAGCTAATCAATCTGATGGCCAAAACATCTAGAATTTGCATGAGTTGTTTTCGTTCTTGATAACCATCTCTCCAGTTACTCAATACAGGGCGTAGATGGCGGTGTGTGCGGGGATATATCTCCCCACTATTGGAGGTGAGGGCATGGCGCTGTACAATCTCCCCCCTACTTTTCTAGGAGGAAAATGTGGAAAAAATCTATATTTTTAACAGACACTA